CAGAATACATACCAGGCTAAATGACAAAACCCTGTTTCACATACAAGGATTAAAAATAAATAAAAGTACCCTCTAGTCTACCATGCTAGTAATTTACTAAAAATACCATCCCTCCACAAACAGTGATTCACCCATACAAAATTACGATTTTAACCAATAGGGGGCATTATACATGAATAAATGGTACTAAATTTTATTTAAAACTTTAAATCTACTACAACAAGAATATGGCCATTTTAACGGGAAATTTGTCTGAAGTAAGAAGGTTTGGAAGTTGTATTTCATAACTTATCTATAACAATTCTAACCTCTAGCAATCATCATGACTGAATAAAATCGAGTACCATGGCCTTTATCCTGTAAATATTAGAAATAATTTCAAAGAGAGTAGGATAAGATCCTAAATTTGAATTTTACAACTAATGAGATAGTAAAAGTTTTTAAAGGAAAAGAATACAAAACCCTTACTAACAAACATGCAAAGTTATCTCATTTGTTTCCATACGTTCATTATTCCTATTTAATTCTCTTAATAAGAGTTACTAAAAATGTACGTGTGAGAAAAAGTTATATTTCTTCATGCAATCTATAGCTTATCTCTAAAAATATTTGTAAAAAGAGCTGCATAATTTTATGTACACTAACATTATTCTTACCTATGTCAACTAAGATAATGATAAAGTTAATCAAGCTGCATGCTTCAGGATAAAGATAATCACCTCAGTGGGTCAGGAGGAAATTTCCTGCATGACCACCACCAGTACTATAAATGCTCATGTGTGGATGTATCTACACATATCACACAATTGACTAAGTATATTCAATGAGAAGGAGTATTGCCCCTGCCAAAGTATCAGATATTGGTCTAGTGCCAGAGACCAGATACCAGAATGAAGGGATGAAGTCTAGTCTACAGTAATTATTATATTCCAAAGATCTTACTTTCTAATTATAATCTTTACCAACTAATGAAACACTTATGAACTGGATATAAAAGGTTGGAGAGCTTGGGGGTGGGGGGTGGGAGGGTTGGCAGGGGTAAGTTTTAAAAAGCTATCTTCCAACCTTTTAGACTTTCCTTGAATTTATAGATACTACCCATTACCTTCTAATCTTCCAGAAGACCCCTTTGTGTATAAAACCTAGAATGCTTTAACTGCGTACTATCTCAGCAATTTGCAGCATGGTATGGGAACTTATAAATCAGAGATGTTATTTGTATGAACTGATCTGTGGTATGTAATCTGCTTCTTGCTGACCTGCTCACCAAAAACATACCTGAACTATAGTAACTTACAAGTATTTAGACAGAATATTTTTAAGAAAAGCCAAATAGGCAAACTAAACAGGAATGCAGTGTTCTCTACACATGAACATGCTATTGCAATCTATTTTGAAAGGTGCAAAAGCTAACAAAAATGAACTGGTTTTACTACAATATAAGTCAAGCTTTGGACATAATTATTTTCAATTCTATACCCTGCTGCTTTGCTACACTCAAAAAACAATTTTTCACATTTTAAATACTGCTACCAAACAATACTTAGGATCCCCTTCACTTTTACTAAGAACTCTGTGAACTCATTCAAAACCATATCCTCATGTCAGAAAAGATTAACATATACTGGCCACAGGAGGGAGGTCAGAAAAAAGCATGCCTTCCATCTCTACTCATAAAGGACCTGATCCAAAGCCCAGTTCAGTGAATGGAGAGATTGCATGAGGAATGGCAAAATTCCATGACAAGAACTCTGGAACACAAGAGACTAGGAAACAATCATGAGGGTAGGTACCAGGTCGTTAATCCTATGCAGTTAACGTTCAATGGATAGTATACTATGCTTTGTTTCATAAATAACTGATGTAAGCTGACAAATTTGGCTTGACAACCTAAAATCTTTTCAAGGTTTTTGCCTTTACACCTCTCCTTTTGCTTGGCAGCAGGCTTTCTATCATCTCTCCAAAGATTCTCATCCATGCCAATCCTGCTTCATCATAGTTTTGTATAAAGTCCTGATAGCTATTTCTGGAATTTATGTTTGGTGACTAACGCTTTCTGTGGAGAAGACATAAGCAAAGGTCAGGATGAATGGGAAAAAAAGAATTGCCTTCAACACCGGAAAACTATTTTCCAGTGATTTAGAGACCCTATTTAGAGAAAGGTTCTTTGAATACTATTGTTCTTATTATTATTAGGTTCACAGATAAAAACAGAAACCAATTCACTTTGCAAACTGACTTGTAAGTTAAGTATTCAAGTGAAAATTCCCTGACGTTTTATTGATTTGTTTTATTGATTTTTAAATATAGCAATATTGCAGTTAAAATTAACCATATTGCTGAAAACAAGCACATGAAAAACTTTTCAAATCTTGAGACTTCAGTTTAAGACTTAAGGTAAAAGCTTATAAACATGAAATATCTTTTCAACCAGATAGGTACAAAATTTAAAAAGTCAAGTTCATTTAAATATGTTGTTATAAGTATTTGTCATCACAACAGATGCCTAACAAAAGCGTTTAGATTAATCGAATGAGATTTTACACAAGACAAATGAATAGCTTTGTTGAAATCCACATCTGATTGAATAATGTATTAACCTTGACTAAGTTGTAAGCATCATCTAAAAAAAGGAACAGAGTGGTACTCAAGTGTGTCAAATGACTGTGATACAAATATAGCGGTGATAAAGTATTTTAGATGGTGTAGATGTAATATTTTATATACTGGGATGGAGTCTGCTCTTATATTTTCAGTCACAATAATAAGTAAAATATCAGATAAAGAACAGAGTAACTGTTAGCTTATAAAAGGAAATTTAAATTGCTAGATCCATTACTTTAACATTTTTACAAAATTACATTAAAGTTACAAGCAGTTAAAACCAAGCCAGAGTAAGTCACACACAAGAAAAAAGATTATAAAGTAAATAGAGTTGTATGTACTAGTGGGGAAATCCACGTTGCCAAAACTCAATGAACTACTCCGCTTCACTCATATATACTGTAAAAATACAGGGTGCACAGATGTCATAAACCCTTCCCATTATTTTCCTGGGGGGCATATCCTGCTTGCCGTGTGTGTGTGTGTGTGTGTGTGTGTGTGTGTGTGTACACACACACACTATACATATATATATATATATAAAACACACACACTAATTTCTACCATGTCAGATTACAGCACAACTATCTCCTGAGGCTGTTGAAGCACAGTCAGTTTTGCAGTGCTGATGTGCTGTGACCCTGGTTTTAATCATGTTCCCAAATCATGTTACAACCCAACAAATGTACACAGATTTCCCCTCAGAGCTAGGCTATCCTGTTTTTTAATGTTGTGTATTCTTTAGTAGACATATGCACCTATACAAATGTCATCCCAACAGTATGTTACTCATTTTTCAAACTTTTTGATTCCACCACCAACCAAAATCTCTCTAGCTCCCAAAAGGTTTCCGAAGTAGTTACTTAAGTTCCTTTAGAGCAAGCTTCCTTCTTGTCCCCCTACATATTCAGATACTTCAATAATCAATCTACAGCTAAAGACCAGGGGGAAAGTGCTTTCCTTTGCCTTGCCCTGGGCTAATGAGTCCAACTCCCCCCAGCTAATTCAGAGAGCGAGTCACACCCAGACACTGCACAACAAAACGAACAATTCTCCACGTGCTTCCCTTGCTGCACTTTAAGCAGCCGTCATAATAATAATAACAATAATAATAATAATACAGTAGTAGTACTAGCAATAATAATAGAAAGTGAAATCAACCCAAGTGATTAGGTGGAAGAAGATGATCTGCTGTTACAGAAAAAAAAATCTTTGGCACTGACTATAGTCTCTTTATTGGTCAAGCTGAGCCACTGTAGAAAGTTTCCCACCAAGGCCTGGTGTCTTGGTGTCTTTCTGGAGTTAATGTCAGACTAGCGTTCATTCTTTCATATGGATCACCCTGCCTGTCCAGTGTAGACAGCAGAGGAGCACTGTAAGCAGGTGATGGTGTATTTAAAGCTGCTTAAAGCCAGAACCCCACTCCACCCCCACTACCACCACCCCCAGCACCCAAGGGCCTGGCTGAAGTAAAGACACTTGTGAGCCCTCTGCTCTTTATAGGGGGCACCTGGTGCCCCCTTTTCTTTGCCAGACAGATGCAACCCAGGCACTGACAGATTTGGGGATAATAGCCCTAACCCTCCCCACCTCACCCTGCACTTTTGAAGCAAGCCATGCTTGAAGAAGGGTGGTTGTGCCCGAAAGCTTGCAAAGAACAATTTTTCCAACTCTAGTTGGTCTAATCAAAGATGTCCCATCTTCCCGAAGAACCTTGTCTGCCTCTGGTATTTCAACAGGAATTTCGTCTTTTGTCAGGTCCCCCCCCCCAGCACAGCTAACTCTGCCAATTTTAGACCAGCTGCCTTTGTCTGGCTCTCTCAGCTGTTGGGGAGGGGGGGGGATGCCCTGCTCTGCTCTCTCTTCAGTGCCCACAAATCCTGCCCCTCGGTCACCTCCTGGTTGTCCCCCCCACTCCATACTGCTCCCCCCTCCAAGCGCTGTGTGACCCCCCTGGGCACACAGAGGCAGTGGGGGGGGGGGCCCCCGGGTGGACACGGGGGGCCCCGGGGGCGGGGGGGGGGGGGGGGGGG